CTGGTGGTGCAGGCAGGCAGAGGTGAGCGGGGCCAGCCCCGTTTTGGGCCTCTCCCCAGCAGCGTGGGAGGGCAGGAAGGCGCCGCTTGCGACACAGACGCCACAGACCACAGCAGAGAAGGTACAAATGAGTCACGGTCCTGTGGCGAGTGCAGCTCCTGCAGTGCCTGCAGGCACAGGAACAGCAAGAAACAGAGAAAAAAACCTGGACATGAGGGGTGCAGCCCTGTAGCTGCTCGTCCGCTTCTGTGCAGTGCTGGGACATGCTGTAGGGCCATCCTCTTGCACCCAGGGTTGCAGGTGGGGGTCTGAGGAGGGGTGTCCCGGCTCACTGAGCAGAGATGCTTTGGGGTCCCTCAGCCCAGCTCCCCGGGCTGGACCGGAGTCACTGAAGGGCTCTGGGCACGTGGCAGAGGTGACCTGGAGGTGTCATGGGGAGGTGGCGGTGGTTGTTCGTGGCCCCTGTAGTCAAGGGGCAGGGGCTGCCAGGGGTGCCTGGAAGCTGAGCAAGGTGCTGAGTCCACCAAGAAGGTGGTTGTGACCATGGAGTGATAGGGTAGGGAGCATCACCTGGAGGACTTTGCACCATGGCCCATGGTCCGCTGTAGAAGTCAAAGGCAGCGCATGCCCAGGCTTCTGGCCCAGGAAGGCAGCAGCAGGGCTGGCAGCATCCCCAGGGTTATTCTTGCCAAGTGCCGCACGGAAGCAGAAGCGATGCTGGGTGGTGCTCTGGGGGCTGTTTGTGGTTCGCCGGCAGCTTCCTGCGGTCTGGCGCGCCTCCCAAGATGGCCTGTGCCCAGGTCCTTGTTCCTCCGTCATCGCTCCCTGATCAGTGTGGGCATCGGGTGTTGGGGGCCACTGTGGCGGATGCTGTGTTTTCCATGTCCCATGGGCTTTGACAGGACTGTGTCTCTGTCTCACAGGTATGATGCAGGAAAGGATGGCTTCATTGACCTGATGGAGCTGAAGCTGATGATGGAGAAGCTGGGGGCCCCGCAGACGCACCTGGGTCTGAAGAACATGATCAAGGAAGTGGACGAGGACCTGGACAGCAAGCTCAGCTTTCGGGAGGTGAGGAGCTAGAGGGGGGGGTGTCTGCAGTGGCAGGGAGGTGTCCCTACTGCTGCTGGGCTCTGTGCTGGGCTGGGGTGCTGATGAGAAGATAGGGAGGGTGCCTGGGGGCTTTGGGGGCTGACACCATGGTGTCCCCTTGCAGTTCC